ATATAGTGGACTTACAACAGCAAGTTGAATGGTAATGTTAACAAGTCCGTATGTTAGTGACAGGCAAAGCATAAAGTTATTCACTGTGATAGAATATGTGGACTACAACAGCAGTGAATGGTATGTTAACAAGTCCGTATGTTATGACAGGCAAAGCATAAAGTTATTCACTGTGATAGAATATGTGGACCACAACAGCAGTGAATGGTATGTTAACAAGTCCGTATGTTGTGACAGGCAAAGCATAAAGTTATTCACTGTGATAGAATATGTGGACTACAACAGCAGTGAATGGTATGTTAACAAGTCCGTAATTTGAGAATATAAAACAACAACAAAATTATTCCGCAGTTGGTGAACACATTTATTTGGCTGATATTTTTTACAATTTATACTTTAGGCAACCTGTCTGAAGAGAATTCGATTAATGTGGCTAACTGAATGGATTAGTGAATAAAGTATCAATAGCAATATAAGTGTTAGTTTCAATTAGAATCCATATACAATGCGTATACAATGGTGTTGTTTTTTTTCGTCTCATAATAATTTCATCTCTTCGTTGGCAATACCTGTCAGCTACAATATACAGTATTAAAACGAAAAGTTAAGTTTGAGCGATCGTTACTTCCTGCAGTTATATTGTGTCACGAGCTTCTTTAATTTTATGTTCATCTGTAAATAAATAATTATTTGTGGTTCATTTTCCCAGATCGACAGGTAGTTTTGATTAAAAAAAACACAAAATAAAACAGAACAGCAGAAATTAGATGTCAATATCTTGGAGTATCGCGCCTCATGACGTTCGTGATTAATGAACTATTAATAAAACAAATGTAAAGCAAATTTTACAAGAAAAGGCACACTAGAAATATTAAGAAAGTAGATTCATAAACAAAAACTTCGATGATTGAAAATATATCTTGCTTTTGTTAAAACTGTTATTTGTGGTTTTCTACAAATCATCTGGTAAACAGTTATGATAAATTTATTTTGGTCGGTGGTTTTATGAAAGCAAATTACGGTTACAGCTTAATAACGATTATTATGAATCACGATAGTGGTTTGTAATAGGGATCGCCCAGTAATTTGACAAAAATTATATTATACGGGCAAAACCTACTTAAAAAGTCGACTTTTGACAACACTCAAGACCTTCTATTTCAATAGCTAAGGCAGTTAAAATATTAATAACAATAAAAAAATTGATTTTCCTATTGTTATACAAAATTCAAATTTCATCGTTTGTTCTTTATGTCCCCCGTGGGACAGCGGTAAGTCTTCGGATTTTCAATACTAATAACAGGGATAGCCCGATGTGGATTTACTATAAAAACACACACACACACACACTTGTTCTTCATATTATTATTATTCATATTCTTCTTCTTTCACAAGCCTACAGAAAAGACAGCCATGAATGTTATATTGTAACTTGGGTAAACCTACTAATAAATCTCTTGTGCAGATCATAGAACTATTTTTATGTTGATCCGTAAAAGAGAAGGAGAGATTTTATCAGTTTTTCATTGCTACTGGCCAAGTTTCTCTTCGAAGCCATTTAAGCCCCAAAGCGTACAGCAAAAATGGCTAGGTATACTGCGCCAAAATCTATGCAAGCTACTAAAGAAATTCCTGTGAATGTTGTAGGGATATTTTGAAGTCGATTCTTGAAAGTCGAGATTTCCACCCTTAAAATTTTCTAAGTTCTTCTTTCCCACCAACATAAACTCTTGGAAGCCATTCAAGCATCACAGAAATTTAGAAGTAATTTAAGCACCGTTATACTAGTCGGAAATGCTCCATTTTATAATAGTGTCTTCAGCCTAGTTATTATTGATTATAGTTTTACAAACCCTACAGAAAAAAAAAACGGCTACGAATATTTTACTGAAACCTGGACAGTAGTAATGAATGCAGTATTGAGTATATTATATTATTATATTTAAAACTTATTCAATCGCCTTCGTTTTTTCGCCCTGAATAATTTTTCTAAATTCTTCACTTTCCGCCATTGAAAAAATCCGACGTTTTACTAATGCGCATTAATTGGAAAATAATTTGTACAACTTATAGCTCATTAACTGGAAAACTGCCACGTTGAGGATTCGTCATTTCTCGAGCTCGCTGTTATACTTCTCTCTAGGTGGTTTTCTGCGATTATTTCAGAGAGTGTTTTAACAGTAGATGATTACCATAGTAGATTTCTCTACTCTTGTTAGTACTGAAATTGTGAGTGCGTATTTTATTGCTACTTTAATATTGTTATTCATATTTTGTTTCACAAGCTTATAGCAAAATCGGCTAGATATTTTGTACTAAAACCTAGACAGATATACTACATAAAACGCTGCGTGTCTATGACCAATTTTAAAAGTTTGACTGTTTTTTATTGAAAGTTGATTTACGTGGCTATAAATACATAATATATGCAATGTTGTTGTTGTGAACGGCTTCCTTTTTACTCGACCGTTGTTAAACTCATGTTTACACGAAATCTCAGGCACAAAACCAACTGTTTCAGTAAATAATGGTTAGGTGAAAAACAAAAGCCAGTGCAGCAGTAAACTGTTGAAAAACATATAACATTCAGTTGAATGCATATGCACGTATGTAGCTTAAAATGTATTCTCCTTAAATGAACATAAAAAGTTTAAGAAACAAGATAATTAAAAATTGTTAATTTGAAAAGGGGAAGAGGGATTGTCAAAAAAATAAAGAAACAAGTTTAACCAAAACGCAAAGATTATATTTTCAACCCTACAACTAGGGTCTTTAAAAAAGTAAACACACTAGTCTGGAAATAGTGTCTACAATATTTTCTCAAACTACAAATCTTATTTTGATTCCACTAAAATTCATAAGTACTGTAGACATGGAGTCAATAAGCACTGTAGACATGGAGTCAATAAGCACTGTAGACATGCAGTCAAAATAGGGACTTGTAGCTTGAGAAAATATTGTAGACACTATTTCCAGCCTAGTTTATTTACTTTTTTAGAGACCCTAGTTGTAGGGTTGAAAATATAATTTTTGCGTGTGATTCAGCTTGTTTCTATACTCTTTTACGATCTCTATTCCCCTTTTTAAAGTAACAATTTTTAATTATCTTGAACTAATATACTCGAGGCAGTTTCAATATTTAACGTTAAGCTTTCAAAGCTCAATGCCAGTATGCCGCTAATTTGATGCTAACGTATTCGAGCGTATGGCAACAGTCTTGCTCCTTTTAGCAAATACAATCTCATGGCCTCCCTAGTGGCACAGCGGTATGTCTGTAGACTTTCAACGCTAGAAACCGGGTTTCGATACCCGTGGTGGGCAGAGCACAGATAGCCCATTGTCTAGCTTTGTGTTTAACTTCAAACAATACAATTTATTATATATTTTAACTTATTGTATGATATAGAAAGATCACAGCGACATCTGTAGCTCAAATAAATCAGTGAATATTATTTTGAATTAAAATACTGCATGATAACATTTCTGTTGGATTTCTAAAGTTAGATCTCCGTTAAAGCTACGTATTAATCACCGAATATCAAAAACTGCTGACGAAGAAATAAGTAAAATGTAACTTTTCCAGCTCTAAAGGTCATTTAAAGTATCTATGAATACATAATTTGTGTATTACCTAAGGATTCATTCACAAGGGGTAGCTGCAATGCTATGAAAGGTTTCACTGTGAGATTTTTTGACTCATAGTTAATCCCAAATATGAAAAGACGACGTATACTGGAAATATTGATTGTCTATATTCTGTTTGTTTGGTCAATAATTATTTCTTTCATTTATTTACCTTTGTTGTATATTTGTTTGTTTGTTTGTAATTAAGCACAAAACTACATAAAGGGCTATCTGTGCACTGCCCACCACGGGTATCGAAACCCGGATTCTAGCGTTGTAAGTCCGCAGACATACCGCTGTGCCACGGGGGGGGGGGGGCTGTTGTATATTTAAAGAATACTGGGAAAATCGGAAATATCACGACTTAATCAAGGTTCTTACCAGCTTAGTGCATTTTAATAATTTAAGACAACTTTTTATTTACAAACCTACTGCTTTCAAGTTACTTGAAACCCCTGTTACAGTGTGTCATTTTAAAAATTGAAATGTTTGCCAAGTAACAAAACTTTGCTCTTCATTAAACACAAGAAAAGGTTTTCAAGTTTCTAGCCTTTAAGATCCTGTTTCTCCTAATTACTTTAGTAACTTTCCACTTTGAAACCAGATAATTGCAAGTTTAGAAAAACATAAGTGTAGAAAACATTTTCTATAAGTTGATAATCTGAAGCTGACTAACCAAAGCTCTATATTTAAGGTGAGCAGGAAATATCAATTATAAGGTTACTCAATTAAATTGTCTTTTTTGAATAATCATTAGTAAGTTTTCTTGTATAGCTAATTATTATACATGGTCTACAATTTTCGTTGTTGTTTAGTTAGTATTAGTGTAGAACGTGGCTTTTAGATGTTATAAATCCAAAACGCTTTCGTCTTTTCAACACTACTAAGCCAGCCAACTAATGAAATTTAACTGCAAATAAGAGAAGACAAACGGCCCAAAAGATCCAGTTGCTTTTGGTTCGGGATTCTGTTTGAAAGCTTTATCATTTTATTTGCTTGAAAATAATAGAATCAACTTTAGGGTTTACTCATTATAGGATTAGGAAAAAGATTAAAAATGATATGTATATGTAACATTAATTGTTTTTTGCCAAAGATTGCATCTTCTAGATATGGAGTAATGTACCAAGCGAAAGATGAAAAACTTTTATATCAGACATGATTATCAGTTTTATGTTTGACACAAACATTGTTAATGGAGAAATGCAAATCTATAACACGTTTTATTTTGTCTTTATGTAGAAAACGTAGATTCAACAAACAAATGTTTGGGTGTATAATTTCTGTCAGTTTTAGAAGAAGAAAGCATATATCGCATATCTCCACTGTAATTTAAAATATTGGTCGATTGTTTGTAGAGTTAATTAGTGATGGCTGGTTAATATTTTCTAAGGTTTAATTAACTTTACGATATAAATTTACGAAGATACTTAGAATATTTCCAGATTATTATTTAGAAAGTAATAAACAGTTAATCAACGCAAAAGATAAACAAGGAACAATTAAAACAGTTATACCCATAACAAAAAGAAAAACAGAATGTTTTTTCTTCATCAGTTTGCTTTAACAATAATGGACAGCTGTTTTTTAGAGGGCTGTTTATGTTTTGTAAATTCACGATAATAGGCTTGTGTTTTGAAGCCCTTCAAATGTTGTCTTTCATCGAAAGAGTTAATGGATCAATATGCTCTTTTTCAGGATTATGTATATGACATTTTGTCTACCATAATTAATTGAATCAAGCACTTGAAATAAACGGTAATGCACCTATGGATAGACAATTCGTACCGTTTAGAAACAAACTCGGTTTTCAAGAAGGAAACAGAGAAATTATTAATATAACAGTTATAAGTTATAATTCAGCAAATGTACGATTGTATCGTGTTTTTGTTTTGTAAGTTGTAAATTGAAAGTCAACAACACTATTCTGTTTTTTTGTAGGTGACACTCCAGATGAAAAGCCAGCAAGGTATGGATTGTCGCTAATTATTTGAAAATAACAAAACTAGATTTAAAAATGCCTTCATATATGTATGTGTTTCTCTGAGTACATTGAAAATGTATTAATTAATGTGTAAGATGTTTTAAAGCTAGATTTTATCTATACCCGTCTTTAATTTAATATTGTAGCATGTCACTGTGTCAGGGAAAATATAGATTTTATTTCGTATCAATTTTCATGGCATGTGCATTCAACTTTATTATAAATGGTTTGTTAATAGAGGTACATATATAAAAGAAACACGCACTTATGCATTATTGTAGGTTATCTAAGCGTTTTAGTAACCACATATTGGGAAAATACTTAAAGCCAAAGAAAACGGAAAATATCAACTAATTAAAGTAATGATCGTATATGAAATGAGGCTAAGGAGCTAACAATTTTGAAAGAAATACGAATTAAACTTTTTATTTTCAACATCGAAATGTTAAGTCTAATTACCAATTGCGTTGATTTGTCTGTCAAATGCATTCAGTTACCTGGGTTTTATTTTCTGAACAAAGAATTCTCGAGATGCTAAGAAACTGATTTTCCAAGCAGAACGTATTTCAGTGCAAAAGAGAGCCTCTTTATAGACAGGGATGTAAAGTACCAAATTGAGTTTCAATATAGAACTGTGTAAGGGGAGGAATATATGGTAAGAAACAGATTTCCAGTGGAGAACAGAACCAGTGCAGGAAGAGCAATGAAAGGTAAGAAAGTGATTGCTAGTGAAGAGACATGAAAGTAAAATAAGAAACTCATCTTAAACAGATAACACAACTTGTACAAAGAGAGAATTGTAAGATAAAAGACTGCATTTCAACACCGAAAATAATTAGAACAAGAATTCATAAAGCCAGTTTTCTGTGTAAAAGAGAACGTATGTACAAAAATAAATGCAGGTAAGAAAAATATTTTCAGTGCATATCAGAATTTGTAGCGAGAGGAATGTAAGGTAAGACATTGAATATCAATGCACAACAAAACCTTTGTAGAGATAGGAATTTAAGATAAGAAACTTAATTTCAATGCAGGACAGAACTTCTGTAAAGAGAGGAATGTAAGCTAATAAATTACATTTTAATGTAGATCAAAACTGTTATAAAGACAGAAATGTAAGGTAAGACACTGACTTTCAGTGTAGAAAAAATATCTCTAAGAACAGGTATGTAAGTTAAAATACGAATTTTAAATGCCAAAGGGAACATTTATAAACACAGGAATGTAAGGATAGAAACTTATTTTCAATGTAGAATATGGAGAGAGAGATATTTGGAAAGAAAAGGATTTTCAGGGCAGAACATGGTTAGAGACATGTAAGTAAGATAATAACCGGATACGTAGAGTTGAACAGAACTTGTATGTAAGGTAAGAAAGTGATTTTCAGTGTAAAACAGAACCTCTTTGTAGACAGGTATGTAAGGTGAGAGAATGAATTTCATTGGAGAACAGAACCTCTTTGTAGACAGGTATGTAAGGTAAGAAAGTGATTTTCAGTGTAAAACAGAACCTCTTTGTAGACAGGTATGTAAGGTGAGAGAATGAATTTCACTGCAGAACAGAACCTGTGTAAAGAGAAAAAAGTATTCTTAGAGACTGCATTTTAATGTAGAATGAAATTAGAAACAGTGACGTAAGGTTAAGAAACTGACTGTCAGCGTATAACAGAACCTCTATAGATAGAGGAATGTATGTTAAAAAAGAAACTAATTTTTAGTACAGATAAGAACCTGTAGACACAGAAGAAAATAATTTTCAATGAATAGTATAACCTGATTAAAGACAGGAAAGTAAGGTAAGAAAGTGATTTTCAATACATAATAGAACTTGTTTAAAGATAGGAAGGTAAGGTAAGAAAGTGACTTTCAATACATAATAGAACTTGTTTAAATTTAAACAAGTTCTATTATGTATTGAAAGTCACTTTCTTACCTTACCTTCCTATCTTTAAACAAGTTCTATTATGTATTGAAAGTCACTTTCTTACCTTACCTTCCTATATTTAAACAAGTTCTATTATGTATTGAAAGTCACTTTCTTACCTTACCTTCCTATAGATAGCAAGGTAAGGTAAGAAAATGATTTTCGAAGAAGAGAACCTCAATTGCTACAGGAATGTAAGGTAAGAAATTGAATTTCAATGCAGAAGAAAAGTTTTGTAGAAATTGGATTTTAATAGAACCTTTATGGAGACAGAAAAGTGAAGTACTAAAATGATCTTCAATGCACACCCGTCCAAAATATTAAAAGTTATTAATAATTTTTGGTTTAATTTTGTGTGAATTAGTTATTTTTTGATGTACTTTATAGTAATTAGTTAACTGCATTGTAACTAGCTTCTGTAGAAACGTTTTATTATTGTACGATGAAATACAGACCCGTTAACAATGTTCTTCACTCTTTTCATAATGAATAATCAAAAATAAGATTTGATTAAACCATTTCACCAGACAAACAAAACTATCTCTAGAGTAATTATTCTTGTAGGGAAATTTAAATTACCGAGATGTTATTAAGAAACATATTTCCAAAGTACCAATTTTCCCTAACTTTTCTTCTTGTTTTTGAAAAAAACACATAATTACAAGAATTACGTTGACACCTTCTCTTCCTATCAATCAGTAACGACAAAATTACCATTTCTACCTTTTTTAGAAACTTCTTTTTTTCTTTCTCGTCTGCATTGTTTCTAAAGCACAATCTTAGCTTACTTATCATTTACACTGGAAGTTTTATTACTCTTAAAACATATTTCAAAACTACTAAACCAAAGCAAGCCCAGTTTTTAACAAATGAATACTTAGCTATGGTAATAAGTATAAAAATGCACTAGCCTATTAGACTCGGTGTTTGTATGGAAACCACACATACGTTAATCAAATTGATTTGTTAATATCCTTAGAATAGTACAAAGAAATGGGTAAAATCGCTGAAAAGCAAAAATAATTAAGTAGTGAAGTTTCGGTCAAACGATGACAAAAACCGTTTGGCCAAAACGTTAACCACTTAATTCTTTCACTTGACGGCTATTTGAATAGGCTGCATTTTGTTATTTTTCATATTCCCAATATCCTGAGAAAGTGGCATTAGTGAAGTAGTGAAGTCCAAGATATAGTAACATTTAAATAACTTGGAAGTGCTTCGATACTTCTGATTATATAACTCCTAATACTTCTACAAGTCACACTTACATTTTGTTTCAATGGAAAGTATCTCACGATTAATATTTCCAGAAAAAGAAATTTAACTTTTGGCTGGTTCCGATAAACAATAAGTTTCTATTGTTTTTTGCCTACATATAAATTTATCAAAGTTGAGACTGCATCAAAAAAGTCATAAGCTGTTTTATCAAGTGTTCACAAAATATAACTTGAGAAGAAAATAGGTTCTATCTAAGCGAAAGTTGTGAAAGATCTTTTGTGTAGAGAATCAAAAGATGAATTTTATCACAATCCCTTTCCATCAGCACATGAGATAAAAGCAAGATTTTAATAAAACGTATTGGTAGCATACGAGCGAAGTTCAGTAGAGCTGGGTATAAAAATCGTGGTGCAAGCATTCTTCACGTATGCGCTATACATATTAAACTACACCGATGCGGTAACTATCCAATATCAAGGAAAACTTTCTGTCTGTCTGTGGACGCACCTCCTCCTAAACGAGTTGACCAAACTTTGCATGCTACCTTAGTAGTCCAAAAGAAAAACATAAACATATATTGAAAATATATTATAGAATAACCCATATATCGTTTACTGCAGTAACTGTTGTGAATAATTGAGTTTGAACAAAACTCACACCACAACAAAAGTCTACAAGTCAAAGATTGTAAATAAAGTTTTCAGCATTTTGGCTTTTTTTCTCCATAACAACCAAAATATACAGTAATAAAATATCCAGCTACGATACGGAGAATAAATATATTGCTACTGTTTAAGTTTCCCACTCTTTCCGGATTCACCCCATTTAACTTTCAGTATATACTGGGGTAATTAAAAGCGCTTATGTTTGAATTAGAGAAGTATTTTATAATTAAGATATTTTAGGGTATTTCTTACTTCTTGAGTTTTGATATTATTTTCCATAGAAGCAAAATTCAAGATTATTATTATTACGTATCATGCAGTAAATGTACCAAAATCAAGACAGTAGGAATCTCGACCACGTCTTTACTGTGAAAGGTTGCCTTGATCAAACAGTAGGAATCTCTACCACGTCTTTACTGTGAAAGGTTGCCTTGATCAAACAGTAGGAATCTCGACCACGTCTTTACTGTGAAAGGTTGTCTTGATCAAACAGTAGGAATCTCGACCACGTCTTTACTGTGAAAGGTT